TTAAGGATCCCATATTAAGGCCTTAATTACCTGGGGTGGTACAATTTTACGCAGCGGCGATACATGAGAGCCTGTAGAACTACTAGTAGTCATCCCCAGAGCCCTCCAACTCTCCGTTGTCCGGTTCCCCATCACTGTGCTCCCCTGCCAACAACTCCATCAATAGCTGCTGCTGAGTGAAGGCCATACAAGGTACACATGCAGGGGGTTGTAGACTGGAACTGGGTGTGGACTGCCTCCACCTGCGCATCATTGAACAGGATATCGAAATCCTTGAATTTTCAGCTGGGTTTACATGTTGCCGGCCAATCCAGCCATGGGACAGTGAGTTTGGACACAGCCGAGACAGTATGTCTTGTAGTGGGCCGAGTTCTGTTTTTCACCAAGATGGAAGAAGACTCAGAGGCCAGGTTTCGTAGGTGGCATAGCTGGAGCTCATCGTGGATGGTCTTGGTTGTGAGGAAAATATTTGGATGGGATTTGGATGGGATCACAATATCTGATGCCATCATTACCCTTAATTAAGCCTTTGGATGATTCTGGCTCCTTGTTAAGCTTAACATTAAGGCCTTATTAAGGCTTAACTTAACTTAAGACTTAACCCTTAAGTCGAACACTGGTTTTGAGTAATCTTCGACGTCTTTATCAGAAGTTTGACGTGTCAGGATCAAATCAGGGCAGTGGAATGGTAGCCTCGATGCAGCCTTGGTCAAGTCGCTGGCCCATGATTTTTTCCCCAAGCCAGACAGTTCAATTGAACTATTAAGAGCGGCGCGGGCGTAATGATCATTTTGAAGGCCAAGGAAATACCGTAAGTGGCTGAGACCGAGGAGGAGGCGACGGACTCGAATAGGCATGATACCGGTCTCTGTGAATAGCGGAGCAATCATGGACCGACGATGGAGATTGAGCATTTGACGTATGAAATTAACTTGAACTTTACATAATTGCTTGACGTGCACGTCCTACACTCTGGAAAAAGTGAGGTTTCAGTAGGGCCAAAAATGTTTCGGAAATGGTTCATATCAGCAACAGAATAAGTAGACCTGAAAGTGTCCCTGAAATCTGGGTTTCTGGTCGAGCTAAATTGGTAACATAAACAGATTGTTTCGGGAACAGCATCTGAGGACCCGAAAATCCCCGTTTCTGAGTCCATATCCGCCTCACTGGTACAGAAGCTGAAACGAAGGGTTTCAGGAGCAGTTTATTGTGTCCTGAAAACAATAGTATCCGCCACAATTTCGGGTGTTCCCGATACTATTGTTTCCAGCCTTCCCGAAACGGATCGGACCGGCGCCCGGCCGATGGGTTTCAGGCAGTCTGAAAACCATAATTTCGGGGGCACCCGAAACTGTAGCTTATATGATTCATTTGAGGTAACAATAAACTGCTCCTGAAATGTATGATTTCAGCAGGAGTTTCTGGAAGGCCAATATGGTTCCCGGTACAGGACATTTCAGGTGAATGAAAACTAATGCTGAAACGACTCGTTTCAGCATGTATTTCAATCCTCCGGAAACATTGCATTTTGGTGGCAATTTCAGGGTTATATATTTGCTTGCTGATGCGAATTATTTCAGAAACGTTTTTGGGAGCCCCGAAACTTGACTTTTTGCGGAGTGCTAACTGTCCGGCGAGATTTCGCATCCATGGATCAAGTGACAATCAACGCGAGCCATATATAGCTGTTTGAGTTCTTTGGGTGTTAATCTTCCGGTCATATCTTCAATCGCCATAATTCGGTGACCACAGTAACGGGCAGTGCGTGCTTTGGCTTTGTAATGATCCTGAAACATATTTCTAGTGTCGGTCCTCAGCTTGACGCCAACATATTTCTCTTCAGACTTAACGGCCAGGTTATTTGCACCCAAGTGGAATGTTGGGAGTGGAGAAATCATTGCCCCGTAGATCAAAACAATTGTTTTGACCAAGTTCACGAGGATGAAATTTCTCGCGCACCAAGCTTCCAGTGTATAGAGTTTTACGCTGAGGCCACGGGCAGTCTGAGGCACTATGAGAAGGTCGTCGGCTTGTGCGAGGAGCGAGATTCTGATGCCGGCAAGGAATACGTCGTCGAAGTCAGGCATCATTGACAGATCGGCAAGGAATAAATTCCACAGAATCGGTGAAGCGGGGTCACCCGTTAGCAGGCCATAAATGCTTTAAATGTGGCAGAATGCTTGTCTCCGCGCTTCACGTAGTATACCATGCGAGCGTATAACATACGGAGCCAATCGAATATTGCACCGCCCATTCCCATACGGAATAGTTTCAACCACAGCGTTGGTTGATCCGTCGAGGGGAAAGCACTGGTAAAATCGACGCATGCAACGTAGAGGGTGCGGCCATGCGCTCTTGCCCATTATTTTAAGCAGCGGAGAATGAATGGGTTATTGTTTGTTCGATAACCTGGTCTAACCCCGTTTTGCCATGATGGAATTAGGCCTCTTGCTTCTGCCCAGTCAAAGATGCGCCAATGGATCAAGATAGTTACACCTTTCAGGAAGCAACTTTCGAGCGCAACCAGCCGATAGCTGTCCGGGTTGTCATGCGGTTTCAGGCGCTTCAGGATCCCAACGATTGCTGACATGAACCAGATCGAAGGGCCTCCTCGGTGGTCAACACACTCGTTGCAAAGATATGCCAAATCTTCGTTCGGAATTTCCAGTAGTTCTGAGTACGATGTCTGATTTTCACCCACAGAGCTATCTAGCGAATGTTTGCATAGGTGGTCTTCAGTCGGCCCATGTCGTCTTCATTCCACTTTTCCGTGAAGAAGTTCTCTGGGGTACTATCTTCCGTCGTGTCCGGCAGTAGTCCCGCAGGAATCTGGTTGATGCTATGTTGAGTTGCGTCGAATTGGGACGGCAAAACCTCAGGTGGGTTCAATCGTTTCTCAAATACCTCCTTAAGACTTTCCGCGGTTACGGAAACCGGGGTGGGCTTTGGATCCGCCAGCTTTTTAATCTCTTTCCAGAAGATGCGGCTTGACGGAGCGTCCATCACCCGTTTTCGATTCGCGTCCTTTAACGCCGTCAATTTATCACGGCCTCGGTGACCCTCAGGACAGATAGGACGGGTTGGGCGAGTTTCGGGTTCTGGTTGATCACTGTCATTAGGTATATCTGCGCTGACTTTTACAGCTTCAGGAATACTTGGATCCGAGCTAGCTGCAAGAACAGGAGGAGCGGGAAGGATACTAGACCTTGGCAGGGAACAGGCGCGAATTGCCGCTGCCTTCGCCTCTAACAGATGGCCGTGCTTAGCTGCGATGTCTTCCTGTATGTAGGAAAATTCAACTGGTGCTGAGCGAGCTTTGATGGAAGCGACGAGGATCTTCTTTAGATCACCATTTAAGCAGCGCCATCCGCAAGCTTCATTTTTAGCTGCATGGTATACCGCGGCCTGGATAGCGTAATGAGAACGAGTAGAATGGAGTTTAATTTTGGTTCACATTGAGTCACTGACACTGAAATCAAAAGTCTTGGCGACAAAGCCTCTCTGCAGAAATGCAGTGCAAAAAACTCATAGGTGCAGGTGCGGACCATCCGCTCCCGGGTTTCTCCTAGCAACTTGTGAACTTCGTTAGAGCAGCTTTCAAAATTGATTTGGCGAGAAACAAAATGTCAGAGCCACATCTCATGGCCTAGGCTCAATTCTAACGAGAAACTCCTGCAGAAATTTGGACTTTTGATGTGTTGGCGTGGAGTCCTGCCGTACCTGCGAACGTTGTCAGGAGAGTTTTGCGGACTGATTTTTTTTTTAAAAAACTGATCCACACCGACAGATGGCCCAGGCTCGATTCGAATGAGCGATATTGCGTGCGGGTGCGGACCATCCGCCACCGAACCCTATTTATCTGCCTGTGAACTTTGTTGAAGAAGTATTCAAACTGACCGAGAAATAAAAAAACTCGTGCATTCCACAATATGGCCAGGCTCAAATGGAACTAGTAATACCCGCATCCTGAATAAGGCCCGGTAGCGAGTCCGCGCCATCTTCGTCACTTAGTTACTTCGCTTAGCGCTGCGAAAGCTCGTAACTTTGATGGGAATTCGTGAAAGTTCGTGAGTTTGAAAGCTTTCTGTGAAAGTTCGTGAGTTAGTATTCCGGGCTTGTCAAACGGCGACTCCTCGGCACATCACGAAGTGATGGGCATCAACAGCTTGCCGCGGTTGGCCGGTTAGGTTTGGGTTAGTTGGTTAGGGGTTGGAGGTTAGAGGTTTGGGTTAGTTGGTTGAGGTTAGTGGTTAGTGGTTAGAGGTTAGAGGTTAGTGTTAGGCCAGGGTATCTATATAACAAAACGGAGGAAGAAGGAAATGATGGCCAGATTGATGTGTTTGATTTGTGGTTTGTTCACCTCACGAACTTTCCTGGGAATTAACCAAAGTGACGAAGTTTCAGAACTTTCCATCAAAGTGACGAAGTTTCGCCAGCTTAAGCGAAGTAACGAAGTGACGAAGGTGACTACTACTCCCCGGTAGCGGTGGTACACATCTGCACTTAATTAATTGATTGACAGAACCACTTCTGCTCATCCATGCAGAGGAGTTTGGACCATCCGAAATCTGGTTTTTGTGCTTCGCTCATAACCTTCAGTATAGTCGAATTTTTATCGAATTGCGCTCCAGGCTAAAAGAGGAAGAAAAAAACGGCGTGTCCCGCAGAAGTGGTTCTGTCAATCAATTAATTAAGTGCAGATGTGTACCACCGCTACCGGGCCTTATTCACTCACCTGTGAACTGTGTTAGGCCACATCGTATTCAAAGTATTTTGCTTGCCACAGAGGAACAAAAAAAAGCTCAAACCCAACGCAAGGCCGGGGCTCGATTCGAACGAGCAATCCCCACATAAATATCTCGAGCCCAAAGAGCAACCGAGCGTAGGCGCGGACCAACCGCTACCACGCCTCCCTCAGCTAGTTGCGAACCTCATCAAACTGGTACTCGAATTAATTTTGGCTCACCGCCAAAAAAAAAACCAGAGCAGTCGACCCTTTACGGCCCAGGCTCGATTCGAACGAGCGACTCCCGCCAATACGTTACATTAAAATAAGCAAAGCGGGTGCGGACAATCCACCACTGGGCCATCCTTTGGTACCTCTGAACTCAGTTTAATTATCATAAGAATTCGAACTGATCCAGGAAAAAAAGGTTAGTGTACCACAATATAGCCCAGGCTCCCACAGGCAAAATGGGTGCGGACCATCCGCTACCAGACCTTTTTCTCATACCTAGAAACATCGTAAGCTAGCTAGTCTCAAACTCGCAGTTACTTGCCAGAGATAAACAAAGCTGAAAAAAAAAACCCTGAAACCCAATACATGGCCCAGGCTCGATTCGAACGAGTAACTCCCGCACAAATAATACAAATGCAGAGTAACCGAACGCAGGCGCGGACCATCCGCTGCTGGGCCTTCCCATGGTACTTTTGGACTCGGTTATCATAAGAATTAAACTGACCCATGAAACAAACAAAAAAGCTGGCCTTCCTTTCTACGATATCGCCCAGGCTCGGCTCGAACGAGCGATTCCTGCACAATTTGGATTGCCCTCAAAGGCAAAGCGGGTGCGGACTATCCGCCATTGGGCCTTCTCCTCATACCTAGAAACGTCGTTAGTTAGTTTCAACTCGCGGTTACGTGGCAGAGAGAAACAAGAAAAACGATCAAACCTACGCATAGCCCAGGCTCGATTCGAACGAGCAATTCCCGCACAAATATTTCTTTACTGAAGAGCAACCGAGCGCAGGCGCGAATCATCCGCTACTGGGCTTCTTCTCATACCTCCACCTTCATTAATAGGACCATTTTTCATCGAATCTTTCGCTTACCACAAAAGAAAAAAATGTAAAGAAAAAACCTGCAGAAAGACGAATGACCCAGGCACCGCTGATTATCAGCATAACATTTGGATGAAATTTGAACAAGAAAAACGAAAAAAGAGTCGTGACCGAAAATGACCCAGGCTCGAATCGAACGAGCAACTCCCGCACATTATTGAGTCTTCTTGATGAAAAGTGGGTGCGGACCACACGCTACCGGGTCATATTTACCCGCCTGTAAACCTCGCTAGATTGCATAGCGTTGAAATTGGATGCATTTGCTTACCGGAGAAAAAGATCGCCCAAACACCAGCACGGCCTAAGCTCGAATCGAACGAGCACCTTCTGCTGGATTTATTCGAAGTCCTCAAGGCTTAATATTATCACAGGTGCGGACCTCCCGCCACTGGGCCTTGTTCATGTACCTGTGAACTTCGTTAGAGCAGCAGTTAATACGAATTTTTGATGGCCAGATTCTCCGCACATTGCTTCTCCGGTGTCGTAAATTCGAACGGTACGGCACCTCATGTGCGCCTACGACCCTGCGAACTTGTAATTTTCACCCAGGAAAAAGAATGCAAAATCTCCGAAGCATGGCCCAGGCTCGACTCGAACGAGCGGTTCCCGCATGAGGTGTTGAGGTTCCTTAGCTATCACGGGTGCGGACCTCCCGCCACCAGGCCTTGTTCACCTACCTGTGAGGTTTGCTAACCCACCTCCGAACTGATTTTCAACAGCCGCAGATTGAAAGAACATCCCACGAGAATCTTCGATTCTCCACACCGCCGGCTAACGTACTTTCAGCGTCACGTATTCACCACATTCCCCAATGTTACTTGCCGCGTGCAAGATGGATGGATTAGATAGAACGCGCCCGTCCGGGGATTCGCGAATTTTGACGCGGGAAGATTCCAACATCAACATTCTCCCCGCTGGTGCGGCTGCTACTTGGCTGCTACCGATGTCCTGGCTCGCCCACGAAGGTTCTGCTCAGCTAATGCCCTGGCGTGCCGCGCGCGATGACAGATGGATGGTGCAAGGCGGTGTGGATGAAGAACAAAAGGAAGTTGAAGAAGCGGTGCAAAGAAAGAAAAGAAGGGTGAGGCGGTGTGGGTCACGACCTTGGCCCGTGCGACATCCGGTATCCGACGTGTCACATCCGATCATCTGCGGGGCTTGCCGGCCTTTTAACGGTCCAGCCATCGATCGATACCGGCAATCGATCCTCTCTCTCCCAAACTACTACCACCATGAGCGACTACGCGAGACCTAGCAACAATGACGGCCACCGGATCTGTTCACGCTCGCCATACTACCATCTGTCAGATTTTACTCTGGAATGAATTCAATTTCGGATATAAATGGATTCACTGACTGTGATGCACAGCGGCTATTGAAACAGGTTTTGCAAGGTTTTTGCAACTCCCGAGAAAACGTACCGTTAATGTACTAAAGCGACCTTTACGGGTACCTTGCATCACCAGCATTGGACCACCCGCTTACACCACCACCACCTTGATTAACAAGAGGGTCCAAACAAGAAGCAGCGAACCGGCGCTCAGTTGGCAGATGGTGACTGGTTGACTGGTGACTGTGCGGCGTTGCGGGGTGGGAAACCGGAAACGTTCATCGTTGATGACAAAACCGTCAGCGATGACATCCCAAATGATCCTGCGGCAGGGAAAAGGATCGTCGCACCCCAGTGACCTACTCAGCTATTATGTACGAACCTCTTAGGTAGACTGGAGCCGGTCTGTCTATGAAGCAAAGCTGTCGATAGACAGACCGGTCGATCGGAGTTTGAAATCGGTTAACGTGCCGAATTACCATAAAAGGCTATTAGATAAGCAAACTTTTGGCGGAGCCGCGGCATTGACTCCCGATACAAACAAGCACAACCTGACTAGAAAGAAATTCTAGCATTATGAATTCTTCGAATTCGGGGCTCATTAAAAGACACAGCATGTTTTATACATAGACTCTATTGTTACAGGTACTCGTCTTTGTGAAATTTGTATTTCGATGGCCCAATTCGCACCTGCTTATATCAAGCCTTTTTAGGAAAGTCGCGCGTTAACCAATTTCAAACTCCGATCGACCAGGCTGGTTTCGAGCCTACCTCTTAGGTAGGTTAATTCACTACCAAATAACCTACCTAAGAGGTATGCCTCTGAAGGAGGCCCGACGTCTGCGGGGGGATTAGTAATGCTTCTTTTACTCATGCAACTGATGCTGGCTGCCAGCGCCTCCTCCAGGGGTGCCAGATGCAATTTGCAAAACTTCCGTGGGTTTTTTGATGTGCACATACACATTTATTACTGGAATAAATACATTGCAAAGTGAGATATACAGTGAAATGTCACCAGCGGTGGGCACTGCGAAATCAGCAGCGGGGCAGGGCACGTTTGGATTCATTCGGCAGCTGGGCATATTTGCACGCGTGCGTGAGGGTGGGTGCAGGGGCGGTGTTTGGATCACGCAGGGGCAGCCACGAAGGTCGTTGCAGCGGGACTGGGGCGAATCAGTGCAGGGGGTGGGTGCGAAGCCAGCGGTGGGGCGGGCGGGGGTTCGCATTCGTTTGCATCGTTCGGCAGGTGGGGGTTCACATGACGTGCATGAGGGCAGGCACGCAACAGTACCAGTAGTGGCATTATAATGTGGCCTGGATTTTCCACAAGTGCACGTTACGGCGTGAGCATGACACTTCCATACCCAGGTCACATTATAATGTGCACCTGAAGTTAAATAAAGATTAAATAGTTGGCTGCTGCGGGAGTCAAACAAAAAGCCTCCAGAAAACAAGATATTTTCTGGATCAAGCACACTAACCAACTGAGCCAAAGAGGAGTAGCAGTAGGTCGAAACAATTGGTATATACTGGGTCACCCACATCACATAATTAGCATGTAACTTCACCCATTATGGCCCGTATAGGGCCATATAGTTAATGTTAGGGTTAGTGGTTAGAGTTAGGGTTAGTTCTCTCTGTCTCGGTCCCAGGGGATATATATTTTTGATGGTTAAGGGTTTGGTTAGGTTGGTTAGGGTTTTTAGTTAGGGTTGGTTAGGGTTTGTTAAGGTTGGTTAGGGTTGGAAAACATACACAAACACATAATAAGCATAGCAAATACCTTTCGAAGACCTAGGGCAGCTTGCCTGCCCTAGGTCTGGGTATAAGCAGTCCCAGGTAGAAAACATACACAAACACATAATAAGCATAGCAAATACCTTTCGAAGACCTAGGGCAGCTTGCCTGCCCTAGGTCTGGGTATAAGCAGTCCCAGGTAGGGTAAGGCTAGCCTTACCCTAGCTGGGAACCAAAATGTATTTTGTATGGCCATTTGGCTCAGTTGGTTATGGTGTGGCCTATTATGTAATTAGGAGGCCCTGGGTTCGAACCAGGCAGCAGCTTTTGTAAAACATTTCTTTATTTTATCTGGTTTGAAAGTGCACATTATAATGTGGCCCAGGCCTGACAGTGTAATGGTCACGTCGTAACGTGCACTTGTGGAAAATCCAGGCCACATTATAATGGTACTACAGGGAGAGCTCGGGCACGGAGGCATTGCAATGCGCAGTGGCAGCCGTGAAGGTCGCAGGGGGACAGGAGCGAACCAGCACAGGGGGGCGGGGCAGCTCATTTGCACCATGCGTGCGTGCTCACACGAGGATACATTTGGGTGGTGGGTGGAGGCTGACAAGGGGCAGGCAGCACATTGGATAATGGCCGCCATGGCCTGATTGGGGTGGCACCGGCGATGGTATAAAACATACCCTGGGTGCACAGAGCACGATGAGGCACTTGGCAGCGCATCGAGAATGAGCCACAGTGGTGCGCATAGGTGCTCGCATCAGCGGGGCACTGGATAGCGGTGCTTGTAGCGGAGGTGTTCTCGTCAGCAGGGCGGGGTGTGAAAACAGCAGGAACGTCCGCACCACACTGGCGCTGTGCGGGGCATAGCACAGGACTGTGCGGGGGTTCGCACAGGCGGGCCACTGTGTAGGGGCACACGTCGTGCGAGAGCGTTCTCGCTGGGCCATGGAAACAGCGGGGGCATCCGCATCGTGCCAGCGCTGCACGGGATTACGCATTGCTATTTGCATAGCGCAAGGTCGGGTGTGTTCATGTTTGCATCCTGCGGTGGTGGGCATGAAAGCACAGCGCTTCACGTTCGCATCTCCCGGGGCAGTGGGAATTCGTTAGGCTCACATTGACGGTTCTGGGGTAAGCAAGGCAGTTGGGGAGGTACACGCGATACACATTG